TAGAGATCAGCCTAATAGGGTAAGATTGGGATTATCTATTATAGAAAGCATGTTTTCTTGGAACTTCTATGACTCTATATCTTCTAACTTCAGTTTTGTATTTGAAATGTAAACAACAGTAATTTATATATATAATGGTTTTTACTACCTGTTATAAAAGAAAATTGGGTGTGTGGCTAACATAATGGTTAATAGCACAAAGTAGAATCAGTTAGCCAAGTTCACATTCAGGTGTAGTTTGTTGCATTCGTTTTTTTTCTGTTTGTTTCTTCTGTGAGAAACAGCCCAGTTCATCCATAGATGACAACCAAAATAGTTATCCCTTCTGGAACCTTATTTTTCTGCCTTTAGGATTAAATTTTCATGTCATTTTGTCTTCTGATTTGGTTGAAAGATTTGGTCACCTCTTGTTGAAAGTTTCTATTGCTTTCTTCTTTGAAAATTTCTGTACCTTCTTGCCAAAGATATTGTTAGCTTCTGATTGGAAAATTTATTACCTTCGTCTTTGAAAATTTTGATATCTACTAAGGTTATCTGTTGACCCTTCAACAAACTGGTTCCAGATAGATCTTAACTTTAGATTTACATGGGTGGGAGCGACCTTTTTGATTGGACAATAAATACGAAGTGTATATAATTTTTAAATTTAAAAAATCAGTTTGAATCAGTTTTGCATGACTGAATTAATTTTGATGGTTCTTTTAGAACCAATTCTAAATATAGAAACTTTTACAGACAAATGTGTCACATCAAATTTATTTTTTTTAAAATTAATTTAAGAAAAATATGTTGAAAACAGATTGATATTTTATTTTTAATAATTTGTGTTATTAGAGTTTCTTTTTAAAAATGTGAATTTTTTTTTTTGTAAAAGAAATGTATCTTTAGTAACAGTTATTTGCTGTTACTATCTGGTCATGTCACCTTCTGATTGGTTATTTTTGAATGTTACTTTTTTTTTACTGTGCAGATATCTCTTGGTGTCTGGAGAAACACGCACATTTTTAGACAGAAAGGATTGGGGTTTTGTACCCAAGAAAGTTCTCTATTGTTTTGAATGATGTATATTTTAATTTTGTATATTTTGAAATGGAAGAAATTTTTTGAAAATTAAGAACTTCTGAGTTAAAAACTATTTTATTATTTATACCATTGAGTGACAATAAGAAGGAATTTTTATATTCTGAATATATTTAGTCTGAGACTAAATAAAAATGTTGCTACTTGTTTTGTAGTTTCTTCATAGGAGAAAGAGACATATTTTATGAGAAATTGATTTGAAGAAATATTTCACTCCTTGAAGTGGAATATGTTGCTGACATCAATTCAAGATTTTAAATCTAGCTATATGTGCCTGGATTTTTACAAAGAATGAGGTTACAGATATGTTTTCCTTTTGAAACAACATTGAAAATATCCTACATCCAGATGAGAAGTACAGAAAAAATGACTACCTCTAAGGTGGCCAGTTGAAAGTGAAGGAGACACCAGAGAGAAGACAATATCACAAGTAAATTAGGCCAATCTCTACAGGGTTGCTGAATATTGTAAAGGGAATTACCTTCAGTAAAGAAGTTTGAACACCTTTTATTCTTCAGCTATTGGAAGAAAAAATTGAAAATTATGTGTTTTTTCTTCTCAGAAAGAACTCAAATACAAACTTTATTCATTTTTTTTGTGAACATTTGAACTGTGAGCTCTGAAGAAAAAAAATTATGCTATGCAAATCAATATTACTCTTGTGGCTTGTGAAAAAAAACGTTACATATTGATGCTTTACTTTATTTTTTTAAAAAAAAAGTAAATGAATATTTTTATAATCTTCCATCCTGCAAACACCTTTTTTTATCTTTTTATTTCTTACCTTTAAATTGCTTATGGACTTCTACCGATTCTGCTATTCTTTATTTTTAATAAAATTTTTGGAATTGTGAATATTTGTCTTTGCCCCAGATATCATTCTTTTGTTTTTTCCTATGATAATGAAATTTTTATTTAATATTTTTTTTTATCTTGGAGCAGAAATCAGATGGAAATTCATTGATTTAAAACATTTAATTTTTTTTATAAACCATCTGGCTTTCTTTTAAATACACTTCTGTGAAAAATAAGTGTAAAGACAAACTTAGACTATTATAATAATTTATTCATAATTATCTACATTTTTTGTATTGGTTATTTATCAGTTTATATTATTAATAAAACTTTTTTTTATATCTCTGGCTACCTGGAAGATGTGGAATTTGTAGTTGAGAGGGTGAAAAATTGACCTTACAAAAGTATTTAAGTTATGTACAAAGGAAAAGAAGAGAGCAGATTAAGTGTAAATTTAAAATTTTTATATAGCCGAAATTGTTGAGGCTTTTTACAAAATTCATTTCTTACCTTTTTTTAGGCCAGATTCTTATGAAGAGAGTTTTCATATAACAGGAAATTGACAAGATGCAGGAACTTTTCTTAATGACTCATCTTATGTTAACTCAGTCTGAGTAGCAGTCAGATGTAACAGTCTATCACAGAGACTCAAACTAACTACTTGATATGTTGTCCTTTTATTTATACTATGGATGTAATAGTAGACAATAAATGTGCATGAATATCTATTTGAAAGTATGTTATAAATGTTACACTCTGTTGCAATTAGATCTCATTCTGATTCATTCTGTATGCTGGCTGGATGTGAACACCACGAAGGCAGAAAACAAAATAACAAAAGTCGTTTTCTGCACATCAGGCTCCATGCATCACATCCAGTCTACAAAGTGAGCTCCTGCTGTGGCCAATCGTGAACGTTCCAGATGGTAAAAAGATGCCCCTGGGGACTACTAGACACACTTAAAAGCAGGTTCTGAGAATGACCAGAACACAGTTGGGGTCACTAGCCATCATGCAGGCTGCTGATGCTGCTGTTACTGCTGCCATGACCTCATCACCATGACAACAGAGTTGTGGACTGGCTGTCACCGTTGCCACCACTCAACATGACTGCCCATTTCAACGACTGTTACCACTCCCTGGCTTGACCAACCACCTTGGCTATCCAGCTTCGACATGAAACATCTCAACCTCAACTTCACCCAGCAGAGATATCTAGCTTCAACTTGAAAGATCTCAACCTCGATTCCTCCCAGTTACAAGCCTGCATCAATAACAACCCCCATTGTCACCTTGGCTCATTTACAAGGCATTCCCTTCACAGTTGGCACCAGCAACCTTTGTTCCACAGAACAGGCCTACCAACCCCTGCTGCCACCTCGGCCTACCTCAACTTAGCTTGACTCGTTTATAAGGCATTTCCTTCACAGTCAAAATCAGACCAACCCCTGCTGTTACCTCAGCCTACCTCGATTTGTTTACAAGGCATTTCCTTCACAGTCGACACCAGAGACCTTTGTTCCACAGAACAGTTTTATCAACCCCTGCTGTCACCTCGGCCTACCTTGACTTGTTTTGAAAACATTCTATTCACAGTCAACACCAGCAATCTCTATTCCACAGAACAGGCCTACCTTGACTCATTTACAAGGTATTCCCTTCACAGTTGACACTGTGAGTTCCATTCCACATAACAAGGCTACCAAGACCACACCAATCCGATGTTACCCCAGTTCAACACAACAGCTCTACCAACCGACGAGATGACCTACCACCGTGACCTCAATCAACCAAATGTGCACCCACTGTATAATGTGACCTTGGCCTCACTGGTACAAGAAATGGTTCAACTCCTGACACTGTGCATACACCAGATTGTCATTCCTGTACTCTCTACCAACAATAAATGTTGTTTTACTCTAATCCTAGTTATTCCTTTCTCTTGCTACCAAACACTTAATATAACATAATCATTGAGAGAAAGTTCCACTGAGATAGATTTTTTACCAAGAACTGCTATATTTTATAGAACAGATGTCATATGGATGCTTCCCTGAAAGTTACAATCTTAACCACTTCAAGTCCATGGATCAATTGTTACCTATCCTCATAATCTTTGTTTCCTACGACCTCCTCTTTCTATCATAATGCTCCTCATTCATCAATTTTAATAGTAACCATTTTTATAGAGAGCAGCTCTTGAATCTTGTATTGGGTGAAAAAAAGATACACGTGTGAATAAACCTTGTTAGTTAAGCTGCTTAAGCACATAAAATGATATTTCTTATTTTTCGAATTAAGTTGTTGATTTGATAACTGCTGATAGATTATCGTTTTTTTTTTTTGTTTTTTTGTTTTTTTTTAAGTTGATCTTAAGACCGTTAAATTGAATTGAACTGATCAAATTTTATTGAATTTTTAAAAATATGAAATAATTTCTTGGGGATCGGAAAGAGTGAAATATAATTTTTCTTCATCATGCACACGTGAGTCAGTCACCATTGTGTAGGAGTCTCATGTGATTTTGAAACAAGGTAAAATTCCAAGTTTTTCTGTCATTATCAGATAATGTTGTAAATTTAAAATGAAGTTTTAAACGTCTAAAGATCATCTTTAATCTATGTGGGATGCAGTAAAATTTAGTAATTAAGAAAATATGGAACGTAATAATAAGAGAAAAAATCAGTAAATAAAAACATGCTTCTTTTTCTTTTATGTTATCAGCATTTGAACTTTAAGTGTACTAAGATTTATCACGTGAATGATAAAAAAGTTTGTCATGTGCTCTAACTTTTGTTTTGAAACCACTAACATGTATAACTTAAAAAAGTAAATATTAAAAAAGAAAAAAACTTTCTCAAAGTTTCGTAAATATTATTAAAATTTTTTCTGAGGTAGATTTTTTTGTTAAATATGCTTATATGCTTTACTAAATATAATATTTAATAGTTTTTGCATCGTGATTTATATTGGTATTACTGCCATTTTATTTTGGATATAATTAGACATATACAGGTTGCCGGGCCGGCCGCTCGAGTTAAGTATAAAACCCGTTACTGCCGGTCATAAGACCAGTCATCGTCGTTTGGGCTGTGGGTACTTCGTTTATCAGGAGGCAGACAAATATGAAGGCAGCATTGTTGATTACCCTGGCGATATGGTGCTTCGTCGCACATTGCGAAGCTCTCCAAAGGTTTGAAAATATACGCATTATTTATATTATTTTATGTATTGAATTTGTACTCAGTTAAAAAAATAAACTTTTAAGAATAAACGAAAATGATCGTTGTTTACCATACAAAGGCGTGTAGATTAAGTTTTTAATAAAAAAAATTACTTTCTAAGTGCAGTGTAAGTAGTCATAATTTAATAAATTTATTTATTATTCCGTGATGACTTGTAACAAAGTTTTATTTACTTTCAGATAATTATAGTTTTTTGTTATTTGTTTTATTCTTTTATAATTGTTTTTAAATGCCATGTACACGGTTTCCTAAACTTAGAATGTCTTAAAAGAAAAAAGTAACAAAAATAAAATATTAAGAAATAAATTTCAAAACTTTTTCTATTCTTTAATTTTTTGACACTTTTTTTATTATTCTATTTTTTATTTTTTTTTTTTTTTATTTTTAGTTATTTCATAAAAAAACTTACCTAAAATATTAATAATTGAATGAAATTGTCGCTTTTTTTACGTCGGAGATTCACTCAAATTGATCCAGAGATTTTTTTTTTCTTTTTAAATTTTGACTAACAAATAAAAAACAAAAAATGTTAAAAATTAAATAATCTGACTTGTAATTAAAAAAATGAAGAAATTATTAAACTATTATTGTATTGTAGTATTTTTATATACACACAAAAAAGCGTCAATTAAATGATCAACACTCAACACAACAGACACTGAATCGACCACAATTAAATTCTGAAACATTTATTAAATTTATTTGTAATGAAATTGTAATTGAGATTAATAACCTTGGATGGAAAACTGAGACTGAATAATTAATTAATGAGTGTTACTGTTACTTTCTTTTTCAACGACTATTTTGCTATTTTCCCGTCATCTCGTTTTTAATTTTATTCAACAAGCTAAAAAAGCACTTTCGATTTTCAGTACATTGGATTTATAAATTTTATTAACATTTTCCGTTTGTTGTCAATGATGAAATTCATTTATCATTTTTTTTAAAAAAATCCCGTTTTTTTTCTTGTATAAAAATAAATCTGTTTTGTTTGAACATTCAATTAATAAAAAAAAAAGTTAATTTTTTTTTTTTTTTTTTTATGTAAATAAGAACGTAAAATTCAATTGTGATAATTTCGTTTTCGTAGGTGGAAGAAGGCTATAAATTTTGTTTGTTCCGCAATAATTTTTACAATAATGTTTTTGTAAATTTTTTTTTTTTTTTTTTTTTTTTTACGAAATTTGTATTGTAAATAAATAAATCTAATATAAAATTCATGTAAATCTTAAAACAAACCTATTATTGTGATGGAATCATTCATTGCAGTTTTAAGTAAACTGCATTATTTTCGAAAAATAGGGAAAATATAGTTGTGAGTTGAGTAACTGTTTTTTTATTTCGAACATTTTTATTTTTATGCTTTTTTTCCCAACTTGATAAAATAAAAACAATTACTTTTCAAAAACATTGATTTTAGTTTTAGTCAATAATTAATCATTTGTCTGTTTTCTCGTTTTGATTCATGTTATATTTTTAAATAAAACATTAAGTAACCCGTTATTTTTCTATGAACGCAAAAAACCTTTCTGTATGATGATGACTCATCGAATTTTCTACAATAATAATCATGAATATTGCCTGGGTAATGCAAACTGCAAAGGCAAATCAGCTTTCTTTCTTGTATTTTTAAAATTTTGTATAAGTTTTTCTTAAAAAACAATAATAAAAAATGTGCATTTTCCCATTTAATGGCCTCGAATTTAATTTAAGGCAAAAATAAATAAATAAAATTTTCTGACAAAAGCGTCTTTATTTTTTACTTATTTTTACTAATCCAACGTTGCGTGGATTAAAAAAAACTTATTTGAATTTTTAGTATTTGTACTTATTTTTTTGTAGTGTGATTTGGGTTTGGATCAACTATAGATTAGATTCCGACAGGGGATAAGGAACAAATAGGAAACGTTTATAAATTTAAATTTCATTTTTGTTTTATTTAGGGAGAAGCTTAATTTTTCTGATGAAACTGAAATAAAAAGCGAAACCGGTTAAGCAGAATTTATTTTAATTTTTAAATGTTTCATAATGTGTCTAGTAAATTTTTTAGTTATTTCAATTTACAATCAATTGTTACGTGAACGTAGTCCCACTTACGATTAAAAAACAAAAATCGCATGTAAAATTCATTAAGTAGTGACTTCTCTTATTGTAAATCTTAAAATTTGATAAAATGTAATCCTTTTCAAATAAATGTATCTCATTTTTGCGACGTAAAATAAAGTATTATTCAGAAGAAACGGTGTCTATTGAAAGTTTCCCACCTGCAAATAATGTCCATGCAGCCGGTAAATCTTCATCGCGATTGATGGCTTGATGTAATATATTTTTTTTTTTTTTTTTTTTTTTGCACTCATCTCTAATTTCCTAAGTGTAGCTTAGGCCGAGTGTATGGGGCACTCAATGAGGACCGAACTCACTACTAGCGAGACAAGCTTGCTAACCATTATTACACCACACTGAAATGCCCAATCTCTACCCAAATTGAGTGATATGCATATAATAAGGTTTTTTTTTGTTTTTTTTTTCTATAAACTGGATCTTCACAAAGTTTGATGGCATCCCTGCAATAGCCCTTAAGGTGCTCCTGAACGGGCTCCTGTTCTCTCTAAATTCTACAATAATATAAATGTTTTGCATTTTCTTGCTCTCCTGCTTGTTGGAAATCCTTTTTTGTGGTTCTAGTCTTTAAGAAGTCTGAACAGTCTGATCCATCCATCAACCTTTTTCTAGAGGTGCAAATTAACTGAATTGTACAAGCAATATGGCTTTCACTTATGTAAGTTTATTGTTGATGAATTAATGATTATTGGTGAAAATCTATCAAGCTTTAGACAAAAACGGTGCTGTTGCTTTCGCTAGCTCAAAGGCATTTGACAAGGGTTGGTATAATGGTCTTCTGCACAAAAGGCTATGGTATTTCAGGGCAAATTTTGGAACTCTTATCAAATCACGATATGAAATTTGAATGGCCACTCTTCTAGATCTTTTTGCATTAATACAGATGTTCCCCAGGGCTTTATGCTTAGATCTGAGTTGTTCCTAATTTTCATAAATGACCTTCCTGATGTCATCAGTATCTATGCTGATGGCACAACTATTTACTCCAGTTTTTATAGTAAGTCTGATGTGTTCAATAAGGTCAAATTGGCAGCTGATCTCAAAAATGATCTACAATCTGTTAACTTGGGCAAAAATATCTTGTTAATTTTATTGCCTCCAATATGAAACTCCTCTCTTAATCGTCTGAGACAACCCTTTTTACCCTGCATCAGAAAGGTTGAGGCTACTTTCCAGGAGAGTGACACTCAGACTAATGTTTTCTATTGACATAAAGTGGAAAGAATATATTGAATGAATTGCTAAATCTGCAACTAGGAAAGTTGGTTCATTATGTCATTCTAGACAATTTTTCTTGCCAGAATCGGTCTATCATTCGTCCATGCTTTGAATATTACTCCCATATCTGGTCTTATTCTTCTATGTATTAATTCTTGATAAAATTAAAAGAATCTGCAATGTAACTGTAAATTCTATGCTAACAGTTTCTTCTATTGCACTTCTTGCTTGTGGAACTTTCTTCCAGCTTCTTGTTTCCCAGACAACTTTGACCTTCAAAAATTTAAATGCAAATGTCAATCGTTATCTTGTCTTAATTATTTTGTTGTTCTCTCTCTTTAATAGTATTTAATTTTCCTCATATTCTCTAACTCTCACTACCCACATGCGTCTTAGTGGCTTTATTGCTTTGCATGGTGTGAAATAATTAAAACAAACAAAAAAAAAAAACAACTTAGTCCAACCCACTTCCTAAAATATGAGAATTATTTCAGATCAGTCTTGTTTAGGTAAAAATCTCTAACATAATAATGAACTGTATTTCCTCCTTAATAAGTTAAATGTTGACTTGGACTGGTTATTGCATTCAGTAAAAAAAAAAAAAAAAACCTAATGATTAGTCCATAAACCTCTCTTTGTTTGCTTTTGTTTTTATAGCTTATACTATTGAGTAAATTTTTCAATATGTAAATTAAAAGAAAAAAAAAAATTGGCCAGATCAATCTATTAATATCATGGTGAATTCTAATAGATTATTTTCCCATTATTTTTTAGGAATGTTGAAAAGCTCTTTTGGTTAACTTCCTCAAATATGACCAAATAAATTCATATTTTTCACAGGAATCTTGTTTTAAGAAACTTTAAATTTTTTTTTTTTTTTCAATGACTACAGGAAAAGGTCAGAATTATTTATTTAAATACCCAAAAAGGAAAAATCAAACCAGTGAACGACTTAAGTGTATTGTCCAATTAACCCTTCTTTCTTGCTGTTTTATTTACTTTAAACCCCATAATCTTTCTTGCTGTGCTTTTAATTAAAACTCGCATGTGTTTTAAAGTGAGTCAAGCAAACAACCTTAAACTGGTCACACACAGGTCAGCAGATGTCATTCTGTAGCCTGTTACTTTGATGATATCTATTTTAACACCTTATCTGACCTGACAAGACCTTACACCTTCCAGTCTGTCTCTTGAATTTATCTAGAGAGGCCTTCATCTAGAAGGTCAATCAACACACACACACACACACCAGTGGAATTTTGGTTGATTTAGGAAGTAGTAGTTAATCATTTACTGAACTGCTAGCTTTGCTAATTTTGTGCCAGTCGTCTAGATTCTTCAGATACAAATTAAAACCATGCAAATTGTTATGCTTAATTCAACCTGTTTATTATTTGAGAAGCAGTACCTTCGTTACTTGCAATTATTGCCTTTTTTCCCTCTAAGAAGGTAACTTTTGTAAAAATATGTAAAAGTTGAATTAGATTGGTAGGACTGCTATTTTCCTGATGATATAGCTTACAAAATTGAGGTTTCAAATCTCTAACCCTTGAGCATCATTTGTCTGAGTTCAGTTTGAAGGGAAACATGAAAAATAAACTCTTAAATT